CATATCTCTGCTATGTGTCTTTTTCTCATTGTTGCAAGACAGGCCACCCTCTGGTTCCTGAGCTAACTTAATTGTCTTTTTTTTTTCTTCTTCTTCTTCATATATTTAAAAAAAAAAATCCAAACATAACTACATGTGGCCTTTTCTGCCTGAAAAAGAAGGTAGTGTAGAACTGAAGGTGTTAAAGTGAAGTAATGTTTCAAGGGGGAAATACATCATCAGTTTTTCTAATTTTAAATGTAACAAATGCCTTGGACTAATGTTGACAAATCTAACTATAGCTGTACTTAATTTTCTGCTTTTCAGTAGGAACATGCTTGCAGCTTGCTAGCACCACCTTGTGGTAAAAGTTTTGTATAGCAGTCTTCATAATCTAAGAAGGTAGATATGCTTTTTCCCCTTTGTTTGCTAATACTGTATATGCATGTGTATGGTAGAGAAATATCTTTATGACCAGACTTCAAAAAAATTTCCTTATATATTTGTGATGAATCTAATTGATGGAACAAGTAGATTTTGATGCCATATGACCGAATTCATTAAAACTGCAAACTTCGATATACTACTGTTTTGGTGTATTTTCTTTTCAACTTTTCCTATCAAACACAGAGAGCACTGCCTTTGTAGGTGCTGTAATAGGCTTTCCAGGTTTCCTGCTTCTAGTTTATACATGTAGTTCACTGTTTTATGATCTGCCAAGTATTTTTTATAAATTAATAACACTCCTTTGTTCATAGAAGCAAAGTGTAAAGAGATTGGCCAAAAACAAGATGTTATGAAGTCAAACAGCCAGGTATAAAGGTTAGCAGTGACTTTCAGTGTCCTTTGGAAATTCAGAATTACACCATTTCTGGTATTCTACAGAGAATTATGATTAATATTTTGCACACTGTTTAAGTTATCTTTTGGAATTTCTATATTGGGAACAGGTTTTTTGTGTTCAACCATATCAAAAACATTAAAAAACATCCATTTCACTTGTATTTTACATTTTTCTTGCTGCTTTGCAAGAAATGATCAAATATATTTGATACCTCCCAGGGGTTTTGACATTTAGTTAAGTAGCACTACTTGAACAACATATGCTGCAGAACATCAAAGTACATTACTAATTTAACCTGAGCTTTGTCCTACCAGTCCTAGTTACCATGCCAAACTCCTGTTTTTTATTGTAAAGTCATTTGTAACACACATTCACATTATGTAGGATATTTGGACCTTCTCTCTGTACATTAAGGGCAGTGTGTAACTACACGCTTTCTATATGATATTAAGCCACTGCATGCTCCTGCTGATAGATTGGGAGCCATACTGTAATCTACACAGATTTTTTCCCCATAGAGAGCAGGAAATTGAGCCTGCCCTATAGGAATGTTAGGGTAATGCATGAGAGGTTCATTCCCCAAACCAGAGTCCTGTGTGGAAGTCACAATCCTCATGTAACCTTGCACCTCCTCTCAGCTTTCCTACAAGTAGTCTCCTGTGCTTACAGAGTGAGGAGCTTGAAGCAGCTTTAACACTAGCTCACATTTCCAATGTGAAATCCAATGTGGCTGCTCCTCATCTGCATCGTTCCAGCAAAGAGGGTTCTATGAGGCTACAGCAAGGAGAGAAACATGCTACCCAGCAGAGGTACTCTCCTCCCTACCTGGGTTCTCACTCTTTTGTCTCTGTTCTGAGTAGAAGTGGAATAAGACTTTGGTCCTTACAAACTAAATAAGATATGGAAAAGACTCATTAGCCAGCAAATTGCCCTCTCTTTTCAGCATCCAGAATTAATCACATTGTGACCTTGTGGATATGTGATGGTTGTAGGCTACATCTTTTTCATCCTTGGCACTGTATTTTACTATAGATAAGAGTATTCCATAGTACCTAATAAGTACAGCAAATATTTGTAAATCATACAAGGAATGGTTCCACCAGAGACGTTTGCATTTCACTCTCTAATGAATACTTGATTTCTTTGCTCAATTCAACAGTTGCCCTCTTCACTTGGGCAGAATTGTGCACTTTCCACCTGATCTCTCACAACATACTTCAGCCTACTCTTGTTTGTGCTCTAAGAAAGGAGTCCTAGGTGGGTGTCAGGCCCTAAAATCCAGGCCCCAAGCAGGAATTCAGGGAGGTCATTTGAACAAGCCCTCCACCTAGCTAAGAGCATCTTAAATTTACTTTCAATTGTCAGCAAACTGACCTCTTCCCTTGGACCCATCTGCATACCACGGAGGCCTCAGTGGGCTAATGTGAACACAGCAATCATTGCCACTCTTGTATTTGAAAGTATAAGCAATTTGAAAGCTGGGCACAAATCAGATTGTCTTCTAGATGGAATCACCAACCATGCTTTCAACCCTGAACGCTTACAAACTAACATTCCAATGGATAATGGGGAATGCACAGGTGTTGCAAGAGAATGCTGCTGCAATTCAGCCCTTACTTTATAATCCATTGCAAAGTGATTGATAAACTTCATTTTGAGGTGCCAACAGTGAAAAGGTTTATTGATGTTACTTTATTTGCAGAAGTGGGTCAGATCTCTGTTGCAATAATGGCTTAGCCTATCACTATCACAATTTTAAAATGTGTTTTGATAGATTATGGAAAGGACGGAAAATATATTACACCACCCCTGGTGATATTCTTACTTTACCTCAAAGCTGTATGAAACCCAGTATCATGAGTGATTGTATCTTTAGTACACACAGAAGGCTTCATGTTCAAAGCAAGAGTTGTGTGGTGTATTTAAGTTTGAAGTCATGCTGAGATGCTACTGCAGTGGTCCCCAAACTGTGGAGCGCACTCCCCTAGGGGGGTGTGGAGGAATGTTTGGGGGCAGTGCATGGTGGGGTAGGGAGAAAGCACCACCCAGTTCCGCTCCGGTCCCAGCCACAGCTCCATTTGCCCCCAGCGCAGCTCTGCTCTCGTTCCCTCTCCATACCAGGCCAGCTTTGCCTCTAGCCCCAGCTCTACCTTCAGCCCAAGGTCCTCTACTGAATTCACTGTGTATAATGGAGGGGGGACACGGACAGATTACATTACATTACTGGTAAAGGGGCAGCGACAGGAAGTGTTTGGACACCAATGTGCTACTGGGTGTGCATTCGTTGAATTACTCTATATCCACTCTCCAGTCTGGCTCTATTCCTCCTGTCTGTGGGAGGCACTTTTTCTTATATGGGCTGATTCTTGCCTTGTAGCAAGGGTGGCAGGAATCTTCATCTTAGGTATGAAGACTCCAAGGAACGTGTCAGGCAAGTGTCTTAATCTTCCAAGAGAAAGTGTAGAGCTTCTTGACTATATAAGGTTCAGTACTGCAGTCTTTAGTTAGGCAAAGTTTCCATTGATTTCAGTTAGAATCATAGAAGATTAGGGTTAGAAGACACCTCAGGAGGTCATCTAGTCCAATTCCCTGCTCAAAGCAGGACCACCACCAACTAAATCATCCCACTCAGGGCTTTGTCAAGCCAGGCCTTAAAAACTTCTAAGGATGGAGATTCCACCACCTCCCTAGGTAACCCATTCCAGTGCTTCACCACCCTCCTAGTGAAATAGTATTTCCTAATATCCAACCTAGACCTCCCCCACTGCAACTTGAGACCATTGCTTCTGGTTCTGTCATCTGCCACCACTGAGAACAGCTGAGCTCCATCCTCTTTGGAACCCCCTTCAGGTAGTTAGAGCTGGTTAGGAATTTTTCAACAAAACCAGTTTTGATGCGCTTCCCTCAGTTTCTCAGGGTTGAGGATAGACTATTCCTATCTGGCCAGACACACACCAAGAAGAGCCAATATCCCAGTGGTTAGGGCACTCACCTGGGATATTGGAGGCCGGGTATGAAGTTGTTGTTCTGCCTGATTTGGATCAGGGACTTGAACCCAGGTCTGCCAAGCACATACCCTAATTACCAGACTATTAGCTATTCTCAGGGGTGGTGCTCTCATTTTTCATTACTCTTTGAAAGGTCTTGGGTTTGTCCGAATGTAGAATGGCAAAATTATTTCCTACCCAGTTTGAAATTTTGCCTGAGTCATGACTGCAGGAACTGATTGTCTGTGACTGACTGACGAAAAGATCAGCAGTCTTTTATAGCAGTAGCTACAAGGTGTAACAGTCCACATTTTTCAAAAACAGCCTTTAATTGTGAGTGTTCAACTTCAGATACTGAGGCCTTCCTTTTCAGAGGTGGTGAGCCACCTGCAGTTCCCATGGACTTCAGGTAGAGTTGGGGTTGCTCAGCACCTATGAAAGTCAGGCTATGATTATATGAAGTAGAGCACCCAAAATTAAAGGCCACTTTTGAAAAACATTGCTTTAGTTTTTTATTCCGTATATTCAGCTACCTTTACTGAACTGAAGGCTCCTACTTTCAACAGTTTCGAGGTGACACTGAGATCTGCAGGATCATTATCCCCTTTGTCTTTTTGGTGATTGCACTGGTCTTCTGCCCTCTGGAGACCAAAACTGAAAGCATTGAAACCATGAACTGTAGTTGAATTGAGCCCATGTTGGTTACAAAAGCAAGTCACTTGTTAGAAATATAAAATGAGGAGAGAGGGTAAATAAGGGCAAATATTAACAACCTCAGCAATATTAATGCAGTAACAAGGTAAAGGATTATGATAGGAAACCAGAATAGAAAATAGAGAAAAAAGAGACACATGGAAAACAAAGATCAAACCAATCAAGAGGAAAACCCAGAGGAAGAGTAATAAGAAAGAGAGAACTAGGAGGAGAGGGATAAGGAGAAGTAGGAGCGAGGAGTAAGAGATGAGTGAGAGAATAGAGGAAGCAAGAAATAAATAGGCCTAAGGGTGCAATCTGTGCTCTAATTACTTTGCTACACAAAATGTTATACTCTACAGTCAAGGTCTGGAGACCAAGTACATCCTCTCCCTGGGATGAGGGAAGAGAATAGTTCTGCACTCTGATGCAAAGCCACACCGTGCCCTCTCTCCCCTCAGAAAGATTCTAGGTATGACCACAACTCAGTCCACCATCTACTCCTGTCTCTTTTCTTTGACCTCAACAGTTAGAACCTCTCCTCCTTCTGCTATGGGGGAAGGAGCCATGCTGATGATAAGGGACTTGTTAGTGGTTCCTCTGAGCAGAACCGGTTTAGGTGGAGGTTGAAAATTTTCACCTGGCTCTTCCATTTGCACAGATGGTTTAGGTGGGGCTGTGGGTTCTGGTGCTCGCTCAGGTTTCTTTTCCTCTGGCTCAGGTTTCTTTTCTTCAGTTTTTTCCTGTAACGAAAAGTTAAACATTTCTTAGTGCTTCAGACAAAATCCAAGAACCCCTATTCTACTCAGAGTGTGGAGTCATAAGGTATGGGTATGAATATTGGAATGGAGACAGAATTTACTACTGCCACCTACTAGTGGATAAGTAGAACAGACCAGGATTATTATCAATTTGCATATTCCCTAAAGTAAGCTATTGTAATAAAGTAATTCCTACACATTTAATGGCTTGCTACTTGCTCATAAATTTGACTATTATGTATAGAAGTTGTTTGGATTTACTCAGTTTTGGCTAAATGTGTTAATCTTAAATTTGTCTCCATGATTTGCAAAGCAGTAGGGAAAGGGTGGGAGTTTGAATAGCCAATAAGTTAAGCAGTGCTTTGCCATCAGCTGGATTCTGTTGCTGGTGGTAGGATAATGCTTTCAAGGGGCATCATGGTTTTGTTAGGGGGGGGAAATGGCTCAGTTCCCCCCCCCCCCAAGGCCCATATAAAAGCAGTTCTTGCTCCCATTTCCCTTGACCCTTTTTCTCTCTGCTGCCTTTTTGCTTTTGCCCACTCTGTCCTAGACAGAACAGGAATCCAATAACGTTTGAGTCAAACATCTGAACCCATGATGTTTGAGATTAGGCACTATGGGTTACATCTTGCCCTGTTGAAGTAAGTAGGAATTTTGTCCTTTCAGTAGGGCCAGGATTTCATGCAATATGTTTGCTCAAACCTGGTAAGTTCCTCTCTTGGGTTTTTCCCCTGCTTATCCCTTGAGCATTCTGAACAGTCTTTTGTATTTGTTGTGGGTTACCTGAACAGCTTGCTGTCTCTTCATCTTGAGCAGCATAGCTAGGCCTCCTTTTCCTGTCCTTCCAAACATTGCTTTGAATAGTTTGGGAGTTTCTGGTTTTGTTGCAAAGAGACTGGACAAGCCTTTTGTTTGCACTTGTGGCCCTTCAGCGGGCTTACCCTTCTCCTTGAGCAGCACCCTGTAGATAAGATGGAAGATAACACACCACAATGAGAACTGACAAGTCTGATGCTAAGATATTACTAAAACTCCAAATCTAAGCATGAAACCCTTGTAACTTTTTTCAGTGTCAGTTTTCATTCCAAACTTAGTGGAAAAGAAAAAGGGCAAGAAGGTACCATTCACCAGAGTATGGATCTATGGCAAACTGCTGCTGTTTGTATTTTGAAATCTATTTCTTCCTCTGCAGGATGCAGGTAAAACAAATGCATGCTTCAAACAAGGTCACATCAAAGGAGGATTGTATAGGGTAAGGTCAGAAACCAGCGTAAAAGAGAGCATACTCCATTACTGCCACGGGATGTGCATGTGGGGCAAAATTATCCTCTCTGGCTGCACTGCAGATGGGTCTTTGCACATTGAACATTCCCTCTGCTAGTGGATTTTGCACTGAAATGAATAGAAGTGATAGTGCGCTGAAGTGACCTGCAGTGTGAATCACTGTTTGGTGCTTAGACTCAGAAAGTTGGCAGGTTGGTGTATCTCTCTGTCAGACTCGTTCAGTAAATCACTATATAGAACCGAAAGCTTTCTAATGGCCAGCGCTGCTCATACAATGTGACATCTGGAAAACAACCCATGGACTTCCCATTCTGTGCTATGCCTGATTACCACCAACAAAGATAATGGAATCACATTTTTATGGGTAGTTTTGTTGATGATGCGCATGGCAAACTAGGCTGGACCCCACTCTTCCAAAACTGTTTTGGTTTTGCAGGCACGAACAAGAGCACGAACTTACTTGTGACAATAAACTATGCAGATATAGACTAGAAATACAGGACAGCAGGTACGAGCAGCATCAAGAAGCAGATTAGCATGCTTTTATTTCTGTTCAAGGATTACACAGCTTGTGGACAAACCTCTCTGTGCACAGCTTTACTGAATTTTTTACCCCAAAATTCAATATGACCTATGCTGCTGTCACCACTTCCCAGTGTTGCACCTTGAAGTTCTGGGGATAGGGATTGAGGAGTGGGACAGTGGTGGCGCTGATGCACCATGGCAGGGTGAATGGGAATTCTCATTTATCTGAATGTTGGAGGGAGCTTATTGTAGTGAATGCAACTGTAAATTGGTGTCTTCACTGTAATCTGAAAAAAATCACTAATATGCTTCTGTTTTCACTTGCAACGTTCAGAAAGCTGGGAGAAGCTTCTCCAGCTGTTTTAGTGCTTGACACAAACCTCAAGCCACAATCAACCACACAAAGTTAGTGGGTTAAGCATAGTATAAATATTAACCGTTTTACCAGTGCTACATTGTTTGACCTATTTTTTTAAGTCTTTTGGAGAGACTTGTTTTCCTGTTTTTTGTTCATAGTTGGAGTTTTTAATTTGAGTAACTAAGTTGTATTGATTTAAAACAGAGGTTCAGATCATTATTTATAGTATATTCCAGCAGCGCTGAGAGTGGCCGAGTGACACGTTAGCTGATCACAGGTCTAAACAGGACCGGGGCAAAGAGGGGATCTATAGAGATACAGCCAAAGTGGGGAGAAAAGGAAGTTGATACATACAAATCTGTGCACTGACCACACCCAGCTAAACTCTGTGTATACATAGACCTTGGACATGCTTCTGTTAGGCCTAATTTAAAACCTGCATGTGTACAGCCTTAGGGCTCTTTGAAATCATAGAAAGGTAGGAAGGGACCTCAAGCTCCTATAGTCCATCAACTTGTGGATACAGAAAAGTATGTGCCTACAGGCTCCATTGTATCCGCACAACTGCACTGTTGAAAATGTGGTCCTAAGCTGAGCACTATTTTGCAGTATTCCTGCACAGGAAATGCAGGCCAAGGTGAGGAACTGGTTGGGCACCTGAGGGGTCCTGTTTGCTTCTAAACACTTATGTGTTTGTCATCCTTTATGGAAAGGAGAGTTGAGACTTGGTTCATAACTTTATCTTTACCACCCTTCCCTGACTACTGCCATCCCTGCCATGACATCATGAAATCTACCAAAAGTTACCATGATAATTCCACAACAAGCACCAAGAACTAGTTTTTCTAAGAAACAAATGTAATTATCTATCAATCAAAATTCTTAATTCTGTATCTAAACCAATACTGCAGGGGCCATACTTAGCCTTCTTCATCAGGAGCTTTTCCGAGTCTGGATAATGCACCAAGATTTCATTGAGAGTCTTCTTGTCTAGAATAAAGAGATTGGCAAATCCATGTGCTACCACGTTAGCGGTCCGCCGATTTCCTCCACTTGCCGCTAATAGGCTGCAATGGAAAAACAATACAAGAAGGTAGGGTTAGAACTTGCATATGTTATGAGTCTCTTTCCAGGTGTTTGGTGTTTTCTTCATTTAATTCAGCGATCATTAAAAAGTTCACATTTACCCCACCGTTACCTGAGGTACTTCAATGCTTCTCTATACTTAACACTAAAACTATACTGAACATAATTGAATCTTTCTTTGATGAATCAGAAGGCACTTCAGGATCTTGTAGTGGCTCATGGTCATCATTATCAACATCAATTATCACTGTAGATGTAGAAGGTGTAGGAGATTGGGCTGAATTTGTAACGACCCTATGACACACCCTGGAAAATGCTTTTTTGAATAAATCCCTGATATCCGCTTGCTTACTTGTCTTCTGCCTCTTTTGCATAAAAGTAGAGTGCAGAATGTGCAATTGCATAACCTCCTGGGCAGTATACAAGTCCCAGTTACTAGACTGAAGATTTGTAGTGGGAGATATCAGAAATGCCGGTTAATAGAGCTTTCTGGTTGATACAGTGCTGGATAACACAGCTTTTACTGTACTAGGAATGTGAGAAATCTTGCTGGATAAAAACATGCCTCTCAGATGAGCCTCACTTCAAGGCTGTCACTCATTTCTAAAAGTTCCCTACGTTCTACATAAATTTGGCATTCCCTCACTATTCTGGTTGGAAACTAGTGACATCAGAAATAAAGAAGCATGGCACTGACATTATAGAAAAAAATATTTGCTCTAAATGAATGACTCCTGCAGCATTACTGCATGAATCACTATTTTGTGACCCTGATTGTGAGTCTGTCACACATTGCATCCCACACCTGGACCCTGGCAAGTTGAGTGGTATGTATATAGAAGGTCTCTGCCTGACAGCTTGTAAATTGCCTGTCTGAAGGTGAGGGGAGTTTGTTTTCAAAGTGATGAAAGAGATTAGCTTCACAAACAGCAGTCTGGCATGAGGAGTATGGTACACAAGTAAAAGTTTAGACACCTGTACAAATACAAATCTGAACTGTTGATCTTGGATTCAACAGACTTCACTTCACTGTCCCATCCAGGGCAACGATCTAAGTAAGCGACACAATACAGCGTATTCCATGTCTTGATATGAATGCTGAAAATCTCCTATCATGAGTATGAAAGGGTACCATCTGCACTAGACTTTTGTACCTCCATTGCTTGTCAATTAACCCAGTTACTTAAAACGTTTTATAAAGACTAAGTGAACACTCCCTACATGTTTGTCCAAGGCCACTACCATTTGTTTTGTTGTTTTAATCGTAGGCAAAGAACAAATGTTTGTAGCCTGGATCAAGCTCTGTTTACTCATGTGTGGGCAGTTTGAGACTTTGTTTGAAATCCTGGTCCTATTGAAGTCAATGTGAGTTTTGCCATTGACCTCAGTGAGGCCAGGAGTTCATCCTTGGAGTATACAGCTAGGAAGGAGGAAAGCATGTGTGTTCATTGTTCTAGGCTAACAGTGAGACTGGATCAAGCTTGGCTGGCAGGGCATAGTCTTAACACACCAAATCTGTACATTTTAAAATCCTGACACTCAAAACTCTGATGCCTAACTGCATTAGGAACTCAAAATGCTCTGATTTTATTTTAAGCAAATAATGCCCTGATGATGGTACGTGTCCACTGCAATAAAACCCCTCTGCACTGAGTCTCAGAACCCGGGTCAATTGATTCAGGCTCACAGGGCCTGGGCCGCAGGGCTAAAAATTAGTGTTGATGTTTGGGCTCAGGCTAGGGCCCAGGCTCTGAGACCCTCTCCCCCTCATGGAGTTTCAGAGCCCAGGCTCCAGCCTGAGCCCAAACATCGACACTGCTCTTTTTAGGCCCGTGAGTCCAAGTCAACTGACCCAGGCTAGCTGTTGCTGTGCTGCATGTCTTTTATTGTAGCATAGATGTACCCTAAATGTTGTGAAAGCTGGTGTGATGGGATGCACAGTGATAAGTCCGCGAGCAGATGAAAACACACCTGGCACTGGAAAGGGAAAGGTTTAACAATAAGGAAAGGGGGTGTATAAGGAGATGGTGTCACAGATCTTAGTGACTGCCCCTTCTTGGCCACCCACTAAGACTGCTGTGAGTGGAGTCCAAGTCTATGCTCTGCTTCCCTTGGGATGCCATTAGCTTCTGGAGCCTGAACGGCACCATTGCCCCAATCTTGGGGCCCCTATGCACACAGAGTACAGACCTTCTACCTAGCACTCCCCTCTGAGTGGTGAAACTCTGTGTGGTGCTGACCCTTCAGACTCCTTGGTACTTTAACACACCACTCCCAGCATACCACCCAAGGGGTGTGAAGCTGCTGGTCACAGTTTAACTCTCTCAGGGGCAACATGGTATTTGTGGATGCTTAACACATACTGGTAGACTGGCTTTGCACCAACTGTAGCACCACTGCTCTTTACTTAACAGACAAAGTACATAGTTTTCTAAATGATCTGTAATCTGAGGCCTTGTCTACCCTATTGTGGTAAGTCAACCAACGTTGTGCTACTCCAGCTACGTGAATAACGTCACTGGAGTCGACGTAGCTGAGGTTGACTTACCACGGTGTCTACACTGCGCTACATCGACAGGAGACACTCTCCCATCAACTTACCTTACTCTTCTCATTCCACACAGCAGCGTCAATCTCCGGTAAGTGTAGACATGGCCTTAGAAAGGAAAGACTGGAAGGGACCTCTAGAAGTCATGAAGTCCAGCTCCTTGCACTGAGGCAGGACCATGCAAACCTAAACCATTCCTGACAGGTGTTTGTCCAACCTGTTCTTAAAAACCTCCAATGATGGGGAGCCACAACCTCACTTGCAAGCCTATTCCAGAGCTTAACTGCCCTTATAGTTAGAAACTTTCTCCTAATATCTAACCTAAACCTCTCTTGCTGCAGATTAACCCCAGAATATTAGCCTTCCCCCTGTTTTTTTGCAACTGCATCACATTTTTGACTCACTGGATTTGTGATCCACTATAAACCCAGATCCTTTTCAGCAGTACTATCGCCTAGCCAGTTATTCCTCATTTTGTAGTTGTGCATTTGATTTTTCCAGCGTAATGTGGTACTTTGCACTCGTCTTGTTGATTTGCCTCTCCCCCACCACTGGTTGACACGACCCTTAGATAACTGCTCTAAAAGTAGATTTTTAACCAGTTGTGCACCCCCCTTATAGTAATTTCACCTAGATCACATTTCCTTAGTTTGCTTATGAGGATGTCGTGGGACAGTGTCAAAAGCCTTACTAAAATTAAGATATATCACATCTGCTGCTCTGTCCCAAGCCAGTATGCCAATGACCCTTAGTCAAAGATGTCAGTACACATCCTAAACACAATGTCCCACACTAGCTCACCCTTCTCTTGGGAATCCTTGGAGGATCAACATTTTTATGGCTGACCAGGAACAATGCTTCCTCAGCTCTCGTCCACTCACGCCCCTCCTCTACCTACGCTACATTGACGACATCTTCATCATCTGGACCCATGGGAAGGAGACTCTGGAAGAATTCCACAATTTCAACAGTTTCCACCCCACCATCAACCTCAGCCTGGACCAATCTACATGGGAGGTCCACTTCCTAGACACCATAGTACAAATAAGTGATGGCCACGTTAACACCACCCTATACCGAAAACCCACTGACCGCTATGCCTACCTTCATGCCTCCAGCTTCCACCCTGGACACACCACACGATCCATCGTCTACAGCCAAGCACTGAGGTACAACCGCATCTGCTCCAGCCCCTCAGACAGAGACCAACACCTACAACATCTTCACCAAGCATTCTCAAAACTACGATACCCGCACAAGGAAATAAGGAAACAAATCAACAGAGCCAGACATGTACCCAGAAGCCTCCTGCTACAAGACAAGCCCAAGAAAGAAACCAACAGAACTCCACTGGCCATCACCTACAGTCCTCAGCTTAAACCTCTCCAACGCATCATCAGTGATCTACAACCCATCCTGGACAATGATCCTTCGCTTTCACAGACCTTGGGAGGCAGGCCAGTCCTCGCCCACAGACAACCTGCCAACCTTAAGCATATTCTCACCAGCAACCACGCACCGCACCATAACAACTCTAACTCAGGAACCAATCCATGCAACAAACCTCGATGCCAACTCTGCCCACATATCTACACCAACAACACCATCACAGGACCTAACCAGATCAGCTACAACATCACCGGTTCATTCACCTGCACGTCCACCAATGTTATATATGCCATCATGTGCCAGCAATGCCCCTCTGCTATGTACATTGGCCAAACTGGACAGTCACTACGTAAAAGGATAAATGGACACAAGTCAGATATCAGGAATGGCAATATACAAAAACCTGTAGGAGAACACTTCAACCTCCCTGGCCACACAATAGCAGATGTAAAGGTAGCCATCTTACAGCAAAAAACTTCAGGACCAGACTCCAAAGAGAAACTGCTGAGCTCCAGTTCATTTGCAAATTTGACACCATCAGATCAGGATTAAACAAAGACTGTGAATGGCTAGCCAACTACAGAAGCAGTTTCTCCTCCCTTGGTGTTCACACTTCAACTGCTAGCAGAGGACCTCACCCTCCCTGATTGAACTAACCTCGTTATCTCCAGACTGATTCTTGCCAGCATATTTATACCTGCCCCTGGAAATTTCCATTACATGCATCCGACGAAGTGGGCATTCACCCACGAAAGCTTATGCTCCAATACATCCGTTAGTCTTAAAGGTGCCACAGGACTCACTGTTGTGTTCCGTCAGGCAGGCAGACTCCTCCCCCTCCTTGCCTTCCCTGTCCCTGTGGCAGCTTCCTTCATCGTAATGCAGTGTAAAATGGCTCTCTCCTCCAGTTCCCCCCAGGAGTCCCTTTACAGACTCCTGCTATGGTCATCTGCTTCTTCTATTCTGCCCTTTGGTAACTTTCCACTCCCAGACCTGCCTCCCTTCAGCCAGAGGAGGAAGTTTCTTCTCCCAGTTAGAGCAAAC